TGGGTGGGTACGAGCCCAAGGTGCTGCCTTGGGAAAGAGGGAGTACCAGAATGTAACTAAGGGGGTGTCTCACCCATCTCCGCTCCCTGCCCCAGAGCTACACCTTGCACCTTCTCTGTAGCAACTCCAGCAGCAGGGAGAGCAGAGAAACAGTGGTGGCACACACTGCAGTAGCAATAACTGGAGGTTCACCACTGCTGTCTTCTTTTTTTGATGACAAAAACTAGTTGGTTTTTGGGCCACTTGACAAAGCAGAGACAACATTCCCCTGGAACAGCAAACCTCTGACCACTGCTCCTGCACCACCACCACTGTTCTGCTCTCCCCACTGCTAAATAGCTGCTACAAGGAAGATGCAGGGTTTGGAGGGTGCAAGGCACGGTACTGGCCAGTTATGTATCTGCAGATGGGCAAAGCCAAGGAAAAGATGAGACAGGGTGAGCTTTCCAGAATCATGTCTGGGCCCAATACAGAAAACCCTCACTATTCGCAGGTTTGGAATTCACGGTTTCAAATATTCATGGTGCTGTGCCAACCCACGCTCTCTCCCCACTGGCAGCGTGATGACTGTTACAGCGCTGGCGGCATCTGTGGGAGCTCTGCACTTGCCCACACCACGCTCCCGCCAGCACAGCCGTGCTCCCCCAGCTGCCAGGGGCACATGCCGTTCATGACGTATTTGCGGACTTCACCATTCGCAGGGCTCTCTGGAAAGTATCACCTGCAAATGGTGAGGGTCTCCTGTAATCACTTTGAGTTGTGCTCCCTATATATATGCCAGGTCTCCTTAATCTTCCACTCTAATCCCATATGACCGTTTCTCTCCTTAGTACCCAGCTGTCTGTCTTCATATTAGCAGCTGACAAGAGGCTGCAGTCTGTTATACCCTTGGGTAGGAAGCAGCCTTCTACATTTTGCTGCTGTAGATAGCATCACCAATGGATATCACTGAACAGAGTGATAAGTGAATGGCTTCAGGGGAGCTGCTGACTACTTCCTCCGCTTTTCAGCTACAGCAGGTGTTTCCTGAAATTTTTCCCATGCTTGCTCAAATATTGCTGACTCCTCTGACCATGCATTAATAATACAGCAGTGCCGAAAGTCTCCAACCAAGATCAGGACTCCATTTTGCTGGGCACAAGACAAATGCATAGTAAGAGACTAAAAGATCTTTTGGTATGAGCTATCTTAATGGGCAAGAGAAACAAAGGAAAGGAGGGGAAACAGGCACAAAAGGTAAGGTTGCTTGTTTAAGATCACACAGCAGAAGCACAATCCTAGGCTCTGGAGATTCAATTTACTCTTGCAGATTATGTTGCTTCTTCAACTGTCCTCGTCACCTGAATCAAACAAGAAGGGGCTATTCCAATACCAGCTGCTTTTACACGAGGTTTCTGCTTTGCTTTCCTTTTCCCCTATCTCATACCCTTCCCCCTTTATCCTTCCTGTATCAAGATAAAATAAGATCACTAGCATGAAGAAGGATTAAGTCTAAAAATCTTTAAAATGGCATAAAGGAAATTAGGAGGTCACTACTTTGTAATTAACATACACTCTCTAGGCCTAAACAATTATTTTAGGAGAAAATGACCTGTAAAGTAACGCAATGCCATCTGTCATGTCTTTGGATCTTATTCTCCTTTTCTGCCAGAGGCCCCAAATGCTTTATAAGGGAGTATAAATTCCATTCCAGAACAAGCAATAGTTTTTTTTTCAAGGCCAAACATCAAGTTGCACATCTAGGAATGCAGACCATTCCTGAGACTATCCTGAGAAGTGGTGTCTCTGAAAAGAACTTTAATCATAGTAAGTAATCATTTCAGTGTGAGCTCCCAGCAGAAGATTGTGGCCAGACAATAATATAAACATTAATATAAAAATATATATATAAACATCATCAGGTAGATTATAATGAGACATAATGACATTATATCTCTTCTATATATATTTGACACTAGTGTGACCCTTACTGCAATACTGCATTCAGTTCTGTAGTCCACTATTTATAAAAGAACATTGAAAAACTGGAGAAGATAAAAAAAGCCATGAAAATGATAGAAGAACCATACCCGATAAAGACCTGGATCTGTTTAGCTTACCAAGGAGAAGGGATGATTTGATCACAGCAGAAACTAGGCAGCAGAGAGCTCATCTATCCAGCAAAGGTATGAGATCAACTGGCTAGAAGTTAAAGCCAGACAAATTCAAACTAGAAATAAATTGCAACATTTTAACAAGTGGGTAATTAACTGCAACTCAGTGAGGACTGTGGTAGATATTAGAGGTCTGATATCGGATCGCACCAATATAAAGAAAATTGATTGCATCGGAAATCTGCCTGATGTGGATGATAATTTGGCCAATAAATGCCTGTGCATGTTTGCAGCCACAGTGCAGCATGTAGACAGCGAAGAGAACAGCTCAGCAGCTTGGAAAGCTGTTGTGGTGGAAGGGGAATGGAGAGGGAAGGGGTGTGGGGGTGCAGATCAAGAACCCCACAGTGGCAGGGAGTGGGGATGGTGCTGGGACTGGGGCAGGTGCTGCTTAGGTGGGGTGGGGTGGGGAGCAGGTGGTGGGGGATGGCTCGCCACCACGCACACCCGAGGAGGTCAGGTGCCCCGTATCTT